ATAATCTTGGCGTTTACTTAAATAGCTAGATTTAGAGCGCTCTCTGTAGCAGGGCTACTTCTATTAACATTTATTTATAGGACTTTTAACATTCTAGTTAGAAGAGGTAGTAGTCCTAGATATCCTAGCTTATAGGATTTTATAGTTTTAGCTATTAGCTGCGTAGGGCTTGCTACAATTTACACACTTAAAGATAGTGTGAACGCAAGGCTTACCTCTACTTAAACAAGAATTACACTTGTAGAGGCTAGTGTAGTAGGTTTCGCTGCAGATTTAGTAGGCTACTTTAGAGCATTTAGCCTCTAGGTGCCCAAAACCTTAGCATTTAGAGCACTATTTAGAGTTATTAATAACTCTTAGTTTCTCTGCTCTAAGGCTCTGCCCTAGAATATAGAGCTTTCCTCTAATAGCTCTTTGGGCTTCTTGTTCTGTAGTAAAAGCTACGCAGGCGGATCCAAAGTTTTGGTTTCCTCTTCTGGATTCTAGTGTTAGCCAGAAGGGGTTGCCTACTACCTTTAGGCCTTTATTGAAGATTTCAATTTCCTCCTTTAGGACCTCTAGGCTATGGTTTGTTGGTAGTTTATGGATAACTACTTTAAACCAAGGGGTGATTGGTTGGGCTGCTTTGAACTCTGTGATATCCTTCCAGATCTCTTGGTTTTCTAGAAGGTATTTTGCTAAAAAAGCTAGGGTGGTAGTAACTATTTTATTGCCTTTTGCTAAAGGTGTTACTAAGGCTACTACTAGGGATTGTACTCCTCCCTTTATTATAAAGGCTTTTTTAAAGGCGTTTCTAATTTTTAGAGCGTCGAATGCAGTAGGTATATTGCTAACTAGAACAATTTGGCAATCTAATAGGCTAGTAGTCTTTTTTTAGTTGTCTTTTTAAGTGTTTTTTTCCGTGTGTTGTTAGTTTTGTTTTTTTAGATATATGTCCAAAGTTGTTCTTAATTACTAGCTGCTACTGTTGCGTAGGAGCTAGGGGGCTGAGCTTGAGGTTAGGTGGGCGGGGTATTTGGTTTTTCAAGGCGTCTAACTTTCTCTCTTAGTTCTTTAGAGACGTTAGATAGAGAGGAGATTTGGTCTCCTTGTAACGGGTCGAGTCCTATTAGACTGCGCACGCAACTACAACGCGCCCACCG